CCCCCCCCCCCCCCCCCCCCAATCCACCCAGATCCGCCCTAGCTAAGCTCTATGATTGGCTCATGAAACACGTACAACGTGGTCAGAACAATGAAAGTAAGCATGCAGGTTTTTTAACCAATGAGAAGCAGCATACCTTGCCCGCACGTTTTTCCACGAGATAGGGGGTTGAGTGTCCTTTACGTAGCATTTTATCTACGTTTTCCTTTCTTTTTTTTGAATTATTGATTGAATTATTGAAACTGTAAATTTATTGTCACATTTATGATGCTTATGGAGGGAGTCATTTAAGCTCATTCAATGAAATTATTTCAGGGTCCGTTCCGTGGACCTTTTTTCTGAGCCACTAGAGTTTATAATTACTGAATAAATAAAAACATCGAACCAGTGCAAAAAAGAAGAAAATTCCGCTGAAATGAATGCTGCTGCCACTTATCACAAATTCTGACTTTGTAAAGTAGATAGTAAGGAGGTGCTAGGCAGTGAAAGGTTAGCATCTTAATTCTAGAAAAGCCAGACCAGAAATTATGCAATTTAACAAATGAGAGCCTGCATTCGTGACAGCATCAATTTTAAAAAATGCAATTAAAGTACGTTTACCAATACTTTTTTTGGGCTGCATAGAATCATTTTTCACCTTTTCAATTCATTTTCCAAGAATTGATTAAAGGAGCTCAATCACCGTATTTTAAGTTATTTTGGCCACGCACAAAATTACCTTCAAATTGAAGGAAACCCGAAAATAGTAGTTTACTAAGATAGAAAAACGCCAAAGAGATAATAATCATAATAAACCATAAAGGAACAAGGATGGTTAAGGCTGGGGAAGATTAACACGCATTACAAACGTCGAACTTGAAAAGTTAGGCTAAACTAAAGATGCGCGGACTGTGACGTAGCTCCTTAACGTTGGGAAAATCTTGATGACATCTGACAGAGTCGAAGTTCCTGCCGAACAAAGATGCGTCATGATTGTGAAATGTTCAGATTGTAATAAAGTCTTGGACTTGACGCTTGTGGCTGTATCGTTCTCTTTTCTAATTTAGTATACATTTACTAGCGTTCTATCACGAATGTCGTTCTCTGATTGACTACGCTACCCACTATCTATTCTGTGATAGATAGTGAGTAGCGTAGCAGTGTGCCCTTGTTAACAAAATGACGGCCGCTTCGTGCTGTTTTCGAAGTGTACATGTCTGTAAAGAAATTTAGATAAAGTTTTGAACGACTGGTAGATTTATACTAAAACAATTAGATTATTTGCTCTCGATTTCTATGCGTGATAGTTGACTCGGGCTGCGCCCTCGTCAACTATCATGCGATAGAAATCTCGAGCTCATAATCTAATTGCGTAATAGAAATGGTATTTTACAGCGAATTCCAGCGTGCCTCACTATCAGACCTTGGAAAAACCTCTGCCACATTTTCTTGTGAAAGCAGACAAAGAGCATTTTAACAGAGACATACCTATAACTACGCACATCTCCCCTCTCCGAAAAGATAGTGAGACGGTCCACGATCAAAATAAAATGATCACAATAATGCTTGCATTAAAACGAACAGGCCTGCGTTTAAGGGTGGACTCCATGGCTTAAATTTAAATTAAACGTCCAGTTTGTTTTTCGTGCAGTCCTAAGCCATGATCGCGGATAGCTGTACAAATTAACTGGGCGTAAAATCCGCCTACATTAGCAGGTTATGTCAGCCACCGACTCGGGTATGGGTGGTCTTTTGTAATAACTAGAGTGCATTTAGTGGTTTTTATCTGCGCGAAAAACTCTGAAATAAATGTTCTAGATAGTGCTGGTTTGGCTCGACTACTCATTGATATACCCTAATCATCGATCTTAAAATCGTAAAATCTTTCTTTGCCTTGCTAAGTTTATTTTTAATGTGTATTTACCCGACGCTGTTTTCCCCTTCGATCTTTTCCTAGTTTATGTAGGAATACACAAAAGACCAAATTGTTTTTTCGCTCAAGAACATTAGACAGTAATTGCATGGCACGGGCTGTTCCTGACAGCCGGAGATGTACTTCGATTTACATTTACAATACTTTCTTTTCAAGTGCCCGTTTCTAGCGTTTAAGGAGAATCAGTAAGATTCTTCTTTTTCTCATGGTATTTTTTTATATATCTTCGAGCTGCTCTTGAGATAAAAGTTTAACTAAGACTATTCCAATCCGGTCTCTCGCGCGATGTTATACAGCCGATATAATGTAACAGCACTTTTATTATCATGCCAAGCAAGCAGCTAAGCCGATTGAGAAACACCAAGACTTCTTCCGTACCCAGTAAATATTTTTTCAAACTGTTCGGATAACATTGCGAGCAGCTGAAAAATTCAATTATTTTTTTTTCAAAAGATGAGCTACATCGAACTCGCTCACAGTTGCAATATCAGAAAACTGTGCAGCAGTGGATGATGACTGCGCGAATTCAACATCAAAACGGACACGAGAAGGTCAGTTAATAGGACGATAATGAACGATAATGAACTCTGTAAACTAATAATAGCAAGATCTAGACCGGTTAACCACTTTCAGACAGGTTGTTTCAAACAGTTAAAATTCCTCAAAAAGGCCGCAGCTAAAAGGCCTCTTCTACCTAATGTCCCTTTCTGGTTTTTTTGCCTTGTGATGCTTATGGGATTAAAGTTTGGTCAGAATATAGAAACCATTCAATTGTTGGCTTGATAAGATCAAATTCTTAGGAATTAGCATCAGAATACAAATTGGACAGTCGTTTGTAACGAAAAGAAAATCATTTCGTGCTACGATACACTCAAAATTTTCAAGCAGAAAGCAGTGAAAGATAACGAAAGTTTAATGCTAAAAATCCAGACCCAAAAATTGTCACCGTTTGTCTATCCTCTTTTAAAAATTCTTTAAATGAAAAAAGCGCAAAACGGCATCTTGTTTGAATTTACCTTTAAAGTACCACTCTTTTTGCCTTTTTTTATGCCAAGCAATTATCCTATAAAGTTTGGCAGATAGCTTTTACATGTAATTGCTTCTCTTATCCATCATATAAATATCCAAATTGGTGAATTTTCTGTCAGATCGAAGAAGACTCCCATCAGTGTAATAAAAGAGGCTTTCACAAAGTCATCATGGGAATCATAAAGAGCATTTTAAATGCACTCGGGCTGTATTTCAAAAGGACTAACTTAATCCTGTTATTTTGAAACGTTTTGGCTCTACCTACGCAGACCACAACATACATCAAGCGGCTAGCGTCTTGAATGTACGAGATGAGAGAGGGAATCAGAAATTACAAGCAGGCTTTCAGTGAAGGGAAACAGAGTCGGGTAAAATAGCTTTGAAATTAACTCAAGTAGCCCACGTAAAAAAAATGGCCTTAATTTAATTTATTTATAGCTACAATGATATTTGTACTGCTCTTCACAAATTTCGAAGCCAAAGAAATAATAACAACAACTTTATTGAGATTTGCATAAATATTGGTGTTATTGGTCAAAAAAGAAGTGAAATTCAAGACCAGCAGTTTAAAATGATCTTATCAACATCAGCAGCAGCTGTAGCTTTATGAATGATTCAGGTTAAAATCCTGAACTTTTATATAAGACAGAGCTCCTTAATGACAAGAAACCTTGGGTTTTCGTTTGCTTTGAGCATGGTGATCTACTTGGTTTTACGCCCCATCCGCAATACGCCGAGAAATCTGAAAACAGCGTTTTCCCTCTGAAAACGCATCAGATGTTTCCCGCCCACACTACGTCGGAGATATTTGCAAACGCAACAATCACCGGTCATTTTTGAGTTACGCGCGAGAAAAACTCGGGCATTGTCGTGATGCCATCGTTTTCCAAAATCTTCGTTTTAAAATGTTTTCCGTTTGGGCAAATCCGGCGTTTTCAAATTCCTCCGGTATGAAGAGCGTTTTCGAAAAGCTCCATATTCGTGACGGATTAGTGTGGACGGTAGACCAAACCAAAGAAATAAAGCTGCGTTTACAGATTTCTCCACCGTAGTGCGGACAGGGCCTCAGAAATGTTTTTAGAATTGGTTCTGGAGTATTTCTGTAGGAAATGTTCTCAGCAGGGTTTCTTCAATTTAGACGTATTAATTTTCTATAGCGATAACAATATTTTGTTGATGTGTGATTATTATCGTCATACTGTAACAAATCAAGCTCCCGGGGAGGGTGGGGCACTTCCTGTAATGGCTATGCGAGGAGGCTCCTCCCGAAAGGGGTACCTTTTTCAGGCTTCAGGTACATGAAAGGTGGGGATTTCACAAGTTGAAGTTAAAGGGTAGGGAAATCTGTCGTTTAATTAATTTAAAGGGCCTT